ACACAGTGTCTCCAAACCCTTCCAAAGCTTTGTGAGGAGATGACAAGCAATTTAAAGGGAACAACTTCTAACCCTGAAACCTAGGGGCAAGACCTATTGTTTACTTAAGTGGATGAGATTGAAGCCTAAATGGTAGAGCACTTCAACCAAAGCTGAGATAAGTGAAGGCAGGGCAACAGTGTTTGCCTTTGATAGTGATGGTTATTTTCAGACAAAATCCCAGCCACAGCTGTTAGAGGTGATAGCAGTCCTTGCTGGGAGGCATTTAAACTTTAAATAGCTCAAGCTGCCACAGTGTCCGAACACCAAGACAGACAAGAAGGTCTTTAAACTTTCATAACACCCTGCTGCTATTAGGCATTGCCTTCTCAGCTAGAAGGTGCTTCTTAAAGTAACCCTATGAAGGAAGAGGGGAAGGAAAACGGACATCAAATTGGGAAAGGGAGTAACATCTTTCAGATGGTGAAGCAATTATTGTTATCATGTTCTGTTGCAGTTGCCACGCTGACGTACTATGGTTCCATAGAAGAGTAAACACTGATCTGAGTTGTCAAGTAGGAATGAAGAGTAATAGTATTTAAAAACAGAGTTGATGTTATATCAAATGAGTTTTGGATACTAAGTATTAATTAGAGATTACTACTAATACCAAGCTTGTTTTTAGAGTCAATGAATACCTCCTAAGAACTCCGGGATAGAGTGCTCATGTTTGATGCAGAAAAAGCCTGGGAGGTATACCTTTGTGAAGCTGGGAAATATATGAATGGGAAATATTCCAGGGAAGCTAAGACTATTTTATCAAAACTGTAGAAATAGCAGGAAAACAATTTCTACCCAATATCTCTCCTTTCCACTGTCTCTCAACAGTACCTTGTACATTCTGCTAGAAGAGGATGTCTTGTTCTGTGTACAATCCTTAACTGTTTTAAAAGAAAGACGAAAATCTATGCCTTGCCTAACTTACCTGATGCAGCACATATTTATATGTAGGAAGGACAGTCATATGAGCCTGGCAGTTTAAAGAACAGAACCCACCCATGTGACTCTATTTTCCAGCAGGCATAACCAACAGAGTAATCCACTTCTAAATCTCTTCGTGAATAATAATGCAGAGAGGGGCTCAATGCAGAGAACTGAGTGCTAGAAGAGAATTTTCTCACAACCACAGATCCCAAAGGCTGCGGAAGGCCAAAAGGCAACAGCAGACAGGAAGAAGGGAAGAGAGATAACAATTATTCTTACATCTGAAAGATAAAGATGAAGGAGGAAGAACAAACAGTTACAGAGTAAAATCAGCACATCTGCTCTCAAGAAGTCTTGCATTTTTAACACTTTTTTGTGGATGCCATTTATCAGGGTAAACACACTAGGGCTTTGGCAAGGAAACCAGATTCTACTTGCACATGCTATTGGTTCTGTGGATGAAAGCTAGCTGCCAGGAGACAAGCAGCTCTTCCCAAGGGCTGCCATACATGCGCCACAGAAAACACTCTCCATGGGACATTTGTTTCAGAGTTCTGTGTCTCCAGCCTCAAGCCGGCTTTTACGGATTCTGTTTTTCTATTAAACTAGTCAGGCCTCTGCTGTTTACTTGGAATAAATATCACATTAAAATGGAAAATTGGACTGTGTCCAATTTAGCTTTAGCCAGCTGAAACAGTATCAATGGAAGAAAATGATGCTCTAATTTTCTCCTCTGGTAAAATGTGGCTAGAAATCTATGCAGAAAATGTAGCAATATTCATTAAAATGAAGAATATGCTATAATGAATAGTAATCGTTTGCTTTTAAATGCACTTGTTAAAATACCATTAAACGTTCAATAACAGCTAAGGCAGTATAACATAGATATATGTGTGGAAATGTTGAGTTCGATTGTTTGCTGTGAACTCTGAAGTGATTTCTTTGTATAACTCTGTTTTCAAGGGTAACAAAGGCAAAGGACAATTAAACAGTAACAAAGCTGCAAATCTATTAGAAATGTTGATTAAGTCCCATCGTTAAGTGTATAAAGAAAATGACATACGTGCACACATGTGACAGGGTGGAGTTAGCATAAGCTGACTCTGGAAATGGAGTAAAAAGCAACTGAGCTATCCTTGTAGTTTTCTGTTTTTCAAATAAGACCATATAATTATACACTTGAAAGAAAATTTATTAATCTTATTTGATAAGACAGTCTAAATTTTATTTTCATATTCTAATTTGTAGTTAAATGACTGAACAAATGGATATTTCTAACCTAGGAGAATTAAAATAATGTGCTAAATTTCAGAGTTGAAATAAGATGCCAAATTCTGGCGCTAGCTTTTAAAAATATCATCATGTGAATTTGAAGATGAACTTGTGCTTAAAATGCATTAAGGGGCAGTAGCAGAACGTGGATAGAAATATATTGAAAGCTGGTTTGGGTACTTGCTGAGATTGGACAAAATACTTCTCTAGAGTTCTTCATTTTAAAATTGAGAATGATGATGATGATAATACCAAACACTGAAACTCACTTTGATTGAGCCAGTTCTGACTCCTAGCAACCGTATAGGATAGAGAAGATGCCCCTCTGAGTTTCTAAGACTGTAGCTCTTCTCGGGAGTTGAAATCCTCATCTTTCTCCCTCTGAGCAGCTGGTAGTTTTGATCCAGTAAATTTGTGATCAGAAGCCCCATGCATATAAGCCCATGACACTAGGGCTCCTTGATAATGATGTGTTTATTGTGAGCTAATCATGTAGACATTAAAACAGTGAAAGTCCCCCAAAACACTCAATAAATGCCAGGATTTTCCATTAAAATCCCCAAAAGAAGTCAGTGGAATATCAAAAGAAAGCTTAGAAATGGAACAGTCCAGGAAAAAGCAAGCATTTTTTTTTTTTAGACAGTTATTCAGCTACTAAGCCATGCTCTTACATTTCAAGTTCACTTAGAGGCCAGTTGGAAGAAAGGTCTGGTGATTTACTTCTGAAAAATCAGTCATTGAAAAAACACTATGGAGCACTCGGATTGGGAATGAGTCAGAGTAAGCTCAACGGCCACTGGTTGAGTGCTATTTGTAAGTCTTTGGGAGTGATAAAAGGGGAACAATGAGTAAGAAAATTGAGTAATTATCTATATTAAAACAAAGGTTAACGAAGAACTAGATGGTGCTCACCTACCACTATCAACTGCTCTGGAAAGGATCACATTAGATCCCAGTATAGGTAGAGGAGGAGAAAAATGTGAAACAGAACTAAAAGTTATAAAAGAGACCAGGCTTATTGGTCCGATAGAGACTAGTGGGACCCCCAAGACTATAGCTCTTAGTTACCCTGCAGACCTCGAAATAAACTCACCTCCGTGTAGAATAATCAAACATTTAAAATCAAAAGAGCAGCATTTACTCAAGGACAAAGTTCAGAGTTGGAAAAGGAGGAGGCATGGAAACAGGAAACGGAGGAGGTGGAAGAAGGGATGGTACATTGAGGGACTGCGACGAAGGAGTTGAAACACAATGCATGTGAATTGCTGGATATAAATTATGATCTATTCGGTAAATGACCGAATTCACAATAAAAAAATTAATAAAATCAGATATGTAGGTCAAGGTACTATTTCTACATAGGTGGTGGCCAAACTCCTTCAATCACAATTTCAAGACTAGTTGTATCACTGCATTGAGCAATCTCAACATCCAAAGGCCAAGAATCTCTCTGCCCCCATTATATGTAAATAATGAAGTTAACCAGTAATTATTAGTTGATGGTTTACCATAATGCCTTTATTTGAAGTCTTAAAATTCTTAATGTATTCATTTCATTACAATGAATATTATTTCCCATAGTATGTGGGGCATTTTCTCACACACCTACCTTCAGTGTAAGGAGAGAAAAACATTATGCAGGCAGAATCACAGATCATTTCCGTTCCATACACTAGCTGGTGAAACTATATTTACTGTTGTAAAAATAGACAAGACTTCCTTTCTGCTATAATAGTAATACAATAAAGGAATAATTGTGGGACATATAGCTCTTAGGACATGGTCCTACTGGATATTCATCCTCATGAGATCACTGAAGACGTGAGTGCTAGAGTAAATGTGGCGAAGAAACCAGATGGTGCCCAGCTCTCAGAAGGACAAGTGTCTGGGGTCTTAACGGCTTGCTTTAAAACAAGCAGTCATCTAAATCGGGTGTCAACTAATTCACACAGAAGTACCCCAGCCTGTATGATCCAAGGATTGCAAATAACAAAACCAAAATTCAAATGCAGGGAATGGTATAAGTGCTTAAATTTTGAACACCATTTTGCAGAAGGTTATGCATGACAGTGAAGCCCTAAGTCCATCTGCAGGGTTCCCACCAGGAATAAGTCTCTGGTGAATGCACTCTGGCCATAGTCCAGGGATGTGAAAAGCCTTGCTATCAGACAAGGAACATTGGAAAGCCGATTATGGAAGATGCTGCTGGGTTACAATGTAACATCTTACAATTTTATCTCCCTTTCACCTATTTTAAATTTGTTCCCGTTTTTAATGTTCTGCTGTCTTTTCAATAGAAGTCTTTCCCTGTTTTATTTTGGCATTGTCATTGGGTTTTTTTGGGGGGGGGGTTTTCCTAAGTGTTTTTCTGTATATGAAATCCAGGATAGGCTAATCTATAGAGGCGGTAGCTGAATGAATAATTACATGGAGGAATGGCATGGGGAGTTGAGAGGAAATGGGACACTAACCACAGTGACTATGGGAAAGAAGAAAATGTTCGAAAATTGATTGTAGCAATGATTGCACAGCTCTTCTGGATATGATTGAACTGTTGAATTATGTATGTGACTTATATTCCAATAAAACTATTTAAAAATAAAAATCATTAAAAAAGAAAAAATGAAACCCTTATGATTTGTTCAAAAAGATTAAGTTCAAAAAAGAAAATGTATACTCCTCTTATCATCATTCTAATGATTTAATAAAAGGTCATATACACATTTTGTAATGATTTATTCTTTGAAGGAAAACATACTACTTACTTTCCATCCCAGACATGGTCACCTCTGTGGAAAATGACCAGGTTGTTTTCAGAATCCAGAGCCACACCAGAAACCTGGCCTGGGAGCAAGTAAACTCCAGGCCATTCCAGTTCCTCTTCTACATGGAAATCTAAAAGACAAACCCATACATTTAGTTTTGAAGAAGAAAACTGGTATAACCTCCTGAAGATTCACAGTGGTATTAGCAGTTCATGCAGCAACATCACTAAATGTAAAGATAGTTCAAAACAAATCAAGCAGTACTACAGATAAAATATTCACATGCACATGCCAAGTAGCTTCCTGAGTTATGAAATAAAACTAGTGACAAATAAATAAATAAATAAAACTAGTGACTGTGAACTTGTCTTGGAATTATGTACACTCTTTCCCTGTTTGACAACATTCCTGTAACACCAGTTATAACCTTAAGGCTTTGAAAAGCAAATCTGAGATGGCCTTCTTCATAAGATTCTAATTCTAAGTAAACATCTTTGGAAACATGAATGGCATCATTTTAATACAGAGCTTTAAATTGTATTCCTCATGGGATTACTATGTATTGTGATGAATTTTATGAGCCCCAATAAATTGATTTATTAAATTATTGTTTATTATTAAACAATATATATTATATATATAATTTAATATATGTATATTAAACAAAATAATAATTTAGTATTAAAAAAAGTTCTAAATAGTAAAGCTGACAAACCTGTTAATTCACTTATCTATTTATCCATCCATCCATCCACCCACCCACCCATCCATCCATCCATCCATCCATCCATTCATCATCTATCTGTCGCTCACAGAAATTAGAAATGTTCAATATACACTGAATTCTATTAAAATCACTCACTGTGATTATCCCCTGTATAAAGAACTGACTAAGACACCAGTCTCATTTAGTAACTGCAGTGTTCCTTACAGAATAGGCATTGGAAGATACTTTCCACCACCGTTTATATTTCACTGTTTCTCACCAGCAAAGAAAGGGAAATAACCACAGAAACTTTGTGACAGAGTGGCGATTTCAAAATTATCCTCATTTCTTATCTGTATACACATAAGTTCAGAGAACCCCCAAGTTCATTAGTGCTAATCCCTTTTATAAACATGCTCAGGAATAAAGAGGTGCAACGATACACGCCACCGTGATTAAGCAAAACAGAGCCAATTATTGGTAGAAGATCTTGGACACATATAAAGGTATCCTGGAAATTTACTGTACAAGTTTCAATATGTCTTTCCCCTCCAATCCTTCAACAGAGATGCTTAGGGGTAGTAAAGCAGTAACTTGAGTTTCATTTCACCTTCCCATCCTCAGGAGGATGTGGCAACACACAGAGAAATCCTCAAAGATAGACATTAAAGAGCAAGAAAGGGAGGCACCGGCTTTTATAATCAGCTCCTGAAAACTTGAGAGTGTGCCCGTGGGAGAATAAGCGTTTTAACATAATCCTCTTGTACAAAGGAAATAGTACCTTTCACTCCAAATGTTTTGACCTTTGAATGGTGATTTTTTTTCTTTAATAAACATTAACAAACATAGCATCAATCAGATGCTTTCGGTTCTGCCTATAACCTTTGCTGAAGCACCTTCAATAAATATTCCCCAAGTGGATTCTCTACATAAGGAACTTATGCTAGTCCTGGAAACAAAAAGAAACAAGGCCTGTTTGTTAGCTTTGATGAACTCACAGTATATACAATGAGGAAAAGACAGGAAATATTGCAGATAGGTAGTGGAGCCGGTGGGGCAGGAACACAAGAGACACCTGGTGCAGGAACCCTGATCCAGCATCCTTCCTGATGCTTGCTGGGTTAGGATGGGGTTAAACTCAGCTCGTCGGAGTTTGCCCAATGGAGCAGACAGCTGGGTTTGCACAAATAGGATGAGGAGGGAGGAGTTCTTCGAGTGTTGAAGTAGGGGGATATTTCGGTCAGAATGAACAAAAGCAAGAATGCTAGCAATTGCAGAAGGTGTTTCAAGCTCTTTTCAGTATAGTTTAAAAATGATACTTGTGTATGTCAGGTGGGAGGAGGGGAGGAGCAGAAGGGACTGGGTGACCTTTAGCTCTAGTTTAGAGTCAGGCTAGAAAATGTATACCACCTGGAAGAGGCTCAATCTAACATTGTGCATGTGGTTCTAAGCCATAGTGTGTTGATCTGCAGCATGATTAACTTCAAGGCAGGCTGCATGTACTTTAGTAGTAGCAGAAATGCATAGAAGTTAGGGAATAATTTACTTCTGAAGTATACTAGAGTACAAGAGAATGTCATTCTCACTTGAGTGTATTCTGATGTCTTCTTGAGTTGAGAAGGGGCAGAGCTAGAGCTGCATGCCCAAGTTCTGTAAATAATTCAGGGCACAGCAGTGGGTATGAATAGGCCTGTTCAGATGAATAGCATCATCATCAATCACACTTGTCATAATAGGAAAAAAGTTTGAAAGTCACTGCTACTGACAATTGGGATCCACTGAAGGTTTATAATGATGGGTGGCATGATTAAAATTGTGTTTTTGAAAGTTAACTCTGGAAATAGTGTATGAGTAGTATAATTACAGATGTCTAAATAGAGTAACATATGAATTTATCATCCCCCTAAAGCATGTTTCAGATTGTTGTACAGCTGTTTGAATCTAAGGCTGAATTTCACTCTCATCTCAATTACAACTTGTCTTTTTAGGGGGTCATCATTAGGTACTCTTTTTCCAGATCCTGATGTTTCTCCAATGGGTTCTGAAGGAACTTCAAACTTCAATGACAGTGTAAAGATGTAACTGTTTTCTTCAAATTCTCAATGCTGGGAAACACCACTCACTGCCATTGAGCAAATCCTGGCTCATAGCAACCCCCTAGGACAGAGTAGGACTGCCTCTGTGGGTTTCTGAGACTTCAAATATTTATGGGAATAGAAAGACTCATCTTCTCCTGCAGAGGGGTTGTTGGTTTCAGATGTCTGACCTCACCACAGGTAGCAGTTCAGTGTGCAACCCACTACCGCCAAATCACAACTAGGTGAAATTTTTTAAGGGCAGGTATCAAACTGGTGAGTCAAACAAGTGCACTGAATGGACCTCTATGATTCAGTTTCTTATATACGTTGTTAACTACAATTTAATCACCCTTTAAATCTTTTTTAAAAATCATTTTATTGGGGGCTCCTACAACTCTTATCAAAATCCATACATTCATACATTGTGTCAAGCACTTTTGTACATTCATTGACCTCATCATTCTCAAAACATTTCCTCTCCACTTAAGCTCCCAGCATTAGGTCCTCATCCCCCACCCCTCCCAGCTCTCCCCTCCCTCATGAGCCCTTGATAATTTATAAATTGTTATTTTGTCATATCTTACACTGCCCAATGTCTCCCTTCACCAACTTCTCCACTGTCCGTCCCCCAGGGAGGCGGTTATATGTAGATTTTTGTAATCGGTTCCCCCTTTCTCCCTCACCTTCCTTCCACCCTCCCAGTATCGCTACTCTCACCACTGGTCCTGAGGGGTTCATCTGTCCGGGATTCCCTGTGTTTCCAGTTCCTATCTGTACAAGTGTACATCCTCCAGTCCAGTCAGATTTGTAAGGTAGAATTGGGATCATAATAGTGGCGGGGAGGAAGCATTCAAGAACTAGAGGGAAATTGTATGTTTTATTGTTGCTACACTGCACCCTGATTGGCTCGTCTCCTCCCTGCAGCCCTTCTCCAAGGAGATGTCCAATTTCCCACAGATGGGCCCTGGGTCCCCACACCCCCTCATTCACAATGCTAGGATTATTTTTCTTTTTTTTTTTTGTCTTTGATGCCTAATATCGGATCCCTTTGATGCCTTGTAATCTCACAGGTTGGTGTGCTTCTTCCATGTAAGTTTTGTTGTTTCTCAGTTAGATGGCCCCTTGTTTATCTTCCAGCCTATAGGACCCCAGACTCTATATCTTTTGACAGCCAGGCACCATCAGCTTTCTTCACGCATTTGCTTAAGCACCCACTTTGTCTTCATCAATTGTGTAGGGGTAGGCTGGTGTGCTTCTTCCATGTGCGTTTTGTTGTTTCTCAGCTAGATGGCCACTTGTTTATCTTCAGGCCTTTAAGATCTCTGATGCTATATCTTTTAATCTTAAAACTGATTTTACTACCTTTTTTGCCCTGGCCAGGGCTTTTAATCAGTTCATTCCGGTTTGTGCTCTTGCCGATAATTTGCATGGAGATGTACTGAATCAGAATCTACATTGTAACAAGATCCCCAGAGGTTCTAAGTCTCACTTAAGAGATTTGTAGGAATCACCCTGAGCACTTGATAAAATACAGACTTAGATTCTATCAGCAGGGATCAGACCAGATGATTCTGGTTTGAAGTCCTAGTTCTATCATAGTACTGGAGATCCTGTTGAGGCTTTATGGAAAGGCTGATTGGCTAATTACTTTCACCAAAAGAAAATAAACAAACATCATGGCTCCTGGAAACTTTTAATAAAACTACAATAAGTACAGCTGGCTAGCAAGAAGATTTTGACCCTATAGGACAGAGTAGGATGGCTCCTTAAAGGTTCTGAGGCTGAAATCTTTATGGGTGCAGACCGCCTAACCTTTTTCCTTCAGAACTGCTGGTGGGTCTGAACTGTTAGCTTAGTAGCTAGCCAATCAATACTTAACAGGCTGTGCCACCAGGGCTCCTAATGAAGGTGCTCATGAAGTGCAGAAACTCAGCTTAGTAGAAGACATCCAATGTCAACAATGTATACGAGGGTTTGCAAAATGTTCAAAGGAAAATGGAATTAAAAGAAAATGGAATTTCCCCAAGAACATTTTGAAGGCCCTTTGTATAATTTCTGTATCAAATATAAATTTCATGCCATATGCTACTTTAGCTGAGGAAGCACTTAAAAATTTATAAAAATCATTAATTTTTTTAGCCTAATTATAAGTTTCATCCGTAAATCATAAAAAACAAACTAACAAAAGTCTGCTTTCACATAGCAGAATCTTTTTTTGGTTGAAGATCTTCAGCAAGGAAAATGAGCGTGAATATCCAGAACATATAAATTCCAACATATACTTTTCATTAATTGATAAGACACTAAGAGCGATATGTACAAACTTAACCACAAAACCGAATCCAT